CTAGCTTCCTTTACTTGGTCGGGGCGGCTGCTGAGCGGCAGAGTGTCGTGGACCTCATGTAGGAATGACAACAATGGAAGGGGCCAACGGGTCGAGTTTTGGAATAGACACGATTTTGTCTAGTGCCAGTTCGGGCAGCCCGGTCATGATGAATGGAGATTTCCGCCCGCTTGGCGAGCCCAGGACTGCGGATTTTAGGAGTCAGGCCACTCCGTCCCCGTGTTCGGAGATCGATACCGTAGGAACAGCGCCTTCTTCTCCCATCTCGGTCACCATGGAGCCCCCGGAGTCGCATCTGGTAGCAGACGGGCCCCAGCACCACCACCACCTCCACCACAGCCAACAGCCGCCGCCGCCGCCGCCGCCGCCAGCCGCGGCCTCAACGCAAAGTTTGCAGCCTTCTCCCCAACAACAGCCACCGCCGACGCCGCAGCAGCCACCCGCCCAGCAACTGGCCTCGGCCGCCTCGGCCCCCAGGACTTCCACCTCTTCTTTTTTAATTAAGGACATCTTGGGCGACAGCAAACCTCTGGCGGCATGTGCGCCCTACAGCACCAGCGTCTCCTCTCCGCACCACACCCCGAAGCAGGAGACCAATGTAGCGCACGAAAGCTTCAGGCCAAAACTGGAGGAGGACAGCAAGACTAAACTGGACAAGCGGGAAGATTCCCAGAGCGACATCAAATGCCACGGTGAGTTGTGCTGCCTCATCCGTCTCGCTTCTCCTCTCCTGGTTCCCTTTCTCGCCTTCAGGCTCCTGCTGATTTCTCTGGGGGGAAGAGTTATTCTGAGAGCTTCTCGGGAGATTTGGGCGCTGGTCAAAAAAGACTGCAAGTGGAAGCGCGATCTCAGCTTGCGGCGAAGTGGGGACTCGTTCGAAGTTCTATTAGTGCTACATTTTCAACCCCTCAACCTTCACCTCCAGCCAGCTCCTTTCTTTTTTAATTTAATTTTAATTTAAAAAGGGAGTGGGGATGAGGACAGCAGGGAGAGAGGGGATCTGATGGGTAATAATACTGTTGATAAAAGGGAGAGATTTGGGATTTTTCTAGCCGAGTTCTTCGGAATGAGGATGGAGTGTGTGGGAGAGAGAAACAGACCCAGGAGCTTGGAGTCTACGGGTGTGATCGCGACCTGCTGTTTATTTTTTAATGCAAATTATTACACACACACCCCATTCTAAACACCACTAGTCAGACAGGAACTATTGAATTGAATGAGGGGAAATTTTCCAAGTCAATTCCTAGAGCATCTTAAAAAAATCAGATGTTAATTTATATAAGAGAAGCTATCACTGTAAACATTTATATTCGTGGTTTTTTTTTTGTTTTTTTTTTGTTTTTTTTTTAAGAAAACACGCTTCTTACCCCACCCACAGCTCTAAGTGTCTGTCTCTTAGGTCCAAAACAAAATAATAATACTTTTAAAATTGGCCCTTTACAAGTAATTGGAAGTATTATTTTATGAAAGTAAAATTTTATGGAATTGAATCTATCGATTTTTGTAAAATCAGAAGAGAACTATTGAAGTTGTCCTTCAACTTCCTTTTACATTTTGTCTCAGACAATTTCAGAATTTAGTGCTCTGTTCTTTGCATGGCAGAGTTTCAACATGCCATGAGAGTTCTTTTACTGATAGGGTTATTATTGTTATTATTAATCCTCACTGTCTCTGGGAAAGATGTGTGCTGCATTGGCTCCTCATTTTACTATTTTAGCATTAGCATAATAGTGCCCCAAACAGATGTACAGTCAGGTCTGGCGATTTTTTGTGCACCAACCTCCCCAGTGGGTCAATTAGAGAGATTATTGTTCTTCCTGCAGGGAAGATCAAGGAGCGCTGCGAAAACGGGTACAAACAGAGAGGGATTGACATATCGATTTCCCAGCATTTCAGTAAAAAAACCAAAGTTGACAAATAGAATCCGGAAATCTTCGTCCTGTCACCTGGATGGGTTCAGTGATTTTGAGATCAACTCTGTGTCTGGGTGACATATTCTTTCTGAAGCTTTGAGAGACTTGATGCAGGCGAGTGCAGAGAGCTTGATTCCAACATTTCCCAAGTGCATTTGAAAAAAGAAAACAAATGCCTATAATTTTCAGTAAACAGAATTTTTAAGACACCCCCTCCTCAAAGAAAGAGAGAGTGAGAGAGTAGCAAGATGCTTTGAGAAGTACCAAATGAGAAAAACTAAGTCAGTGAAAACAATAAAGGAATGGGGAGATTTCTCCCCACAACCAAAGAAACAACAATGATGAAAGGACGCTTCATTGAAATATTTTTTTTCTTTTTAAACTCCCAATGATGGAAAGGTCAGAAACCCTTTTTTTTGAAACTCTTTTAGGATTTCTGCATAAGGCCCCAAATCTCAAGCCAGAAAATGGTTCTCCTCCTCTATACTGGCTAAAACCCAAATTGTGTGTGTGTGGGAGTGGTGGGCTGTGATGGTAGCAGTGGGAGCGTATAGTCCCTAGGGAACAGAGATTGATTTGGGTATATGGAAGTGTTTGTGTTTGTAAGGAGGATGCTACCGTACATTCCCCACTCCAGGCTAATTTTCAGCTGTGGCTGGGTTTCTACCACAGGAACAAAGGAGGAAGGAGACCGGGAGATTACAAGTAGTCGAGAGAGTCCCCCTGTGAGAGCCAAGAAGCCTCGAAAAGCCAGGACGGCTTTCTCTGACCACCAGCTCAATCAATTGGAACGTAGCTTTGAGCGGCAGAAATACCTGAGCGTGCAGGACCGAATGGACCTAGCTGCTGCACTCAACCTCACCGATACCCAGGTCAAGACCTGGTACCAGAACCGCAGGTAAGGCAGACTTTGTGGGGGATCCCTGATTCCTAGCTCGCCAGTCCTGACCTGACTGGTTTATCAATCTCCTTCCCCTACTTTGGTCTACTCAAGGGTCTGAGACTCGGGGTGCTTTCAGGCTTGAACAGGGATTAACCACAACCATGAGATATGAAGCCACAAAGCAGCTGAAGTTTGAAAATTTTGCGCTTCAAAGTGTCTTTAACAGGTGTTATTTTCCCTTCAAAACCCAGCCAGGAGAACTTCCCCACCTTAATCCCAAATCCATACAGATACATTTTCTCAAACAGACAGACATGTAGCTGACAATCAGACCCAAAGAGTGCACTGCCCCAGACTGGTTCCAAATGTCCATGACCTCTAATCACGTTCCTAGCAGAGCTGAATTCAGCTGAAAAGTCCTTGCCATGTGTCTGAGGCGGCCAGGAGAGGCAGGGTTGGAGAAGCCACTGAGCCAACAAGAGGGGGCCATTAGATGCAGGTGGGAGAATCGGGCTATTGGCCACTATCTGGGGCCAGGGTGTCGATCCCCTGTACTGGCCACTCTGTCACCCCCTGCTGTCTCACTAGGAAGAAAGGGTGTTACAGAGCCTGCCTGGAACTGATGCTTCTCTGGAAGGAAAATAAAGAAAAAGGCTGGCAGCGCTTGTGGGCCCCTGAAGTGGACAGTTAGAGACTGGGGCTATGCTATGTGTCCGAGCCTGGTGCTTGCCTCCATTGTCTTGCTTTTTTCTTTTTCTGCCCCTCCTTTCCCCATTGTGTTGGTTGGAAATGTCCATCCGGTTGTCATCTTTACCGTAATTTTCTGTCTCATTACATATGGTTTCAGCCATCCTAATTCTGTCGGAAAACATTAGTGTCATTTGTAGCCAATTTAAAATAGTCAACACGTTTATTAATTTGACTGGAGCCGCTGGGTATGGACAGCCCACCAGGCCTGCGGTTCCTTCTTAAGGCATTTGAGCAAAGCCACCTCGCCTAGCCTCTTCTTCCTAGCAGGGGTCCGGTGGGGGAGGGAAAAGATGGAGAAAAGCTGATCACAGATTTTAATTGTTACTCTCTCCCTGAGGAAAAAATATCTTGAAATGCATTCCCCTCCTCTATGGCCCTGAGGTATTCTCCCCTTGGGAAAGCCCTCCCTCAAATGAATTCCATTTTAAAAGCTTGTAGCCCTCTTCCCCTAAGCTACCCCACACCCCTCAAGGTCCTGTCAAGCTGATGAGAGAGATGCGTCTCCACAGCCCTGGACCGTGAGGGGCCCATCCGAGGCCCAGAGTCTCTGAGTCCCTTTGTTTGCTGTTTCTACTGGGGGAGGGAGGAAGGGGAGGGACGGTGGTGAGTGGTCACCCAGGGATTGTTGGAGGGGCCACTCAAGAGGGGAATTAGGGGAGGAGGGAGAAAACCCGCCTGTGAAAAGAGGGGTGGCACTCAGCCTCCAGGAAAGTTTCAGGAAGCAGCCAAACTATAAGAGGAACAAAAGCAGGGCAGAGGGTCAGGCAAAGGCAGAGAAGCTTGCAGGATTTCATTTGTGAGTGTGTCAGACGTTGAAGGTGTATTTTATGAAATTGATGGATTTGGGTAGTTGGGGAGCCGAAGGTGTAGTGCATGGGCCCTCTTCTGAGTTCTTGGACTCTTCCTGCCACCTAGGGGAGGAGTAGAGGGGAAGGAGGAGAGAAGAGTTAGGGGCCTCGGAGCCGTCCCCTCCAGCCATGCCCATGCCTCTGGGTGCAAACCCGCTTTCTTTCAGGACCAAGTGGAAGCGGCAGACTGCCGTGGGTCTGGAGCTGTTGGCAGAAGCGGGAAACTATTCAGCGCTGCAGAGGATGTTTCCGTCGCCTTATTTCTACCACCCAAGTCTGCTGGGCAGCATGGACAGCACCACTGCAGCTGCGGCGGCGGCCGCCATGTACAGTAGCATGTACCGGACTCCTCCGGCACCCCATCCCCAGCTGCAGCGGCCTCTTGTGCCCCGTGTGCTGATCCACGGCCTGGGGCCCGGAGGGCAGCCAGCTCTCAATCCCTTATCCAACCCTATCCCGGGTACCCCGCATCCCCGGTGAAGAGCGAGTAGCAATGCTGCAGTCCCTCCCCAACCCCATCAGGACAGCTGTCCCTCCTCTTCTGGCACCAGGCCACAAGAGCCTCCCTAGCAGCCACCCCTAGAGGTGAGGAGTACGAGGAAGATGCTCACCACTGGGTGGGTGGGGTCTCCCAAAGAGGAGACAGCCCTCTGCTCTCCATCTCCCCCACAGCAGTGTGACTGGCGAAAACGCTGACCCCACACAAAGTGTGACCAGTAAGTGAAAACATCAACAGAAACAAAACCTCAAGTTCTTTTAAAACATGACTTTAGGGACAAGCAGGAGGGAGCGGGGAGGGCAGGAGGAGGGGACAAACAAGGGCATGGAGAGGAAACAGAGAGAGAATTGTAGAAGGACAGCCTCAAAGCGAGGCGGCCAAGGGCTTCGATAGGGACATTCCTTCTGCCCCAGAGAAAAGAGGAGGGTAACAGAGAACTTTGCACTGATTTCTCATGACCTTTTTTCTTTTGGAAAAGTGGCATGCTCCATAATAAGAAAAAAAAAAGTGTACATTTGGAAAGACTGAGTGATGATATATCATATTTATTATATGTTGTCCAAAAAAGAGTCACTTATATACGTTAGTAAAAACATGTTTTCTTTTCATGTCTTTTTTGATTCAGTAAAATAAATGCGTAGACAAAATATAGATTTTTTTGTGATTGAAAATTAAAATAAAGTTTATCTTTTTTTAACAAGTGATGAAATCCAAGGGAGCTGATTTTACTAAAGCCGAATGTGTGATAATTGAGGTTTGTAACTTGGTTTAAGAGGGGGAAAAATCCCTACTAGAATATTAGGAATTTATAAAACCTGTAGAGATTGACTTGTATAAAAACAGCTCTACTTTCCACGTAAGCTTCTGCTGAACGGTTATTTGATATGTGTTAGTTCCTTTCTTTTTAAGTGGATGGTTACAGGTCGCTGAGGTGGGAAAATGTCAGGGCTTAATAGGCTATTGGTACTAGGTACGTGGACAGGGAACTTCCCCTACGTCCCAGCTTGCCTCTCTTTGCACCTCCCTCATTTCCTGGTGCTTCTCCAGAGACCCGCAAGGGTCCGATGTCTGGGTGGCGCAGATGCAGGCAGGGGTGGAGCGGCGATCGGACAGCGCTCCGTGGGCCTCGGGGCCTCGCAGCTGTGGCAGTTGTGCACCCGCGCGCGGCAGGACAGAGTGCAAGACTGCAGTGCGCACAGTTAGGGTGCCCCGGGGGACGCAGAAAAGCCTACTAAACAAACCCTTACTGTGCCCTTGATCCTTTCCTTCTTGGTCCCCAGTGGAAATACACCCCCAGCCCTATGGAACCGTTGCGTCTATTAAAGTTTCCTGTGCTGCGATACTTGGAGCAGGAATGCAACGGCAAACTCTGGCGCAGACAGACTTGTCAACCCTATGTTCTGCGTCCCTGGATATCTGGGACCACAAAATAAGAGATCCTGCCTAGAAGGTGGAGGAGGTCTCCTGGTGCTTAAGGAGCGTGTGTGACGTGTGTGGGTGTGTAAATGTTCAACCTTTCCAGGTCAGCTCCCTACTAGGTTTATCGCTCAGGACTCCATAGGGAACAACTGAAGAGTAGTTTCCTTTTGGGCTTTACCCCACTAATCTCATACCCCAAGGACACTTCCTGAGTTGCCAGAATTGGATTCTCTTTCTGGGTATCTTCATGTCCTTATCACCACTCCTGACTTAGTACAATGACAAAAGCGTAGAAGAAGCAAAATATCCAGACCTGTCCAACAACTTTTTTGTGAAGCTTGAATCTTAGTGGTGGTGGTGGTGTGCTGTGGAGTTGGTTCTGACTGACAGTGACCCTGTACAGGGTTTCCGAGGCTGTAAATCTTTATGGGAGCAGAACGCCTCATCTTTCTTCTGTGGAACAGCTGGTAGTTTCGAACTGCTGACCTTGAGATTAGTATCCGGACTCCACTATGCTACCAGAGCGCCTTAAGCTTGAACCTTAGTAGAGTTAAAAACATTTTCTTTTTTTAAAAAGTGGAATGGTGTGGGAGTGTGTGTTGGGGGTGGGAAGAAGGGCTAAGAAAGAGGTGGAATCCAGAGGAAATTGCCGCGGGCACCTTGATCAGGCCTTGACTAATTAGGGAGTGGATTGCAGATTTCTCTCCAGCTCATCAATTTGCTTAAAAAACCCGTCTTGTTCTTGTTTAATTCTAAAAGGGTCTGGGTTGGCCTATCTAATTTTTTGCCCGCTGGGCTGGACAACCTCAGACAGCTGGTCTTGGCTGGAAACTGGGCGCTTCTGTGTCCTGTGGGGATGCTCATTGCTCTAACACTCAGCAGCCTCTCCTTGTTCCACGTTAGCAGAGGTTGGGCTTTGCAGTCTCATTGAAACCTTTAAAAAATGACTTACCTGGGCCTAAAAAGGCCCTCTCCAAGGCTTGAGGGTGGGGTGTGGAGGTGGGAGTGGGCAGTACTAGACCTTCTGTTTGTATTGGTCTTGGGGCTGGGCAGCTCTGTCTCAAGGGTGTTCTGGGAGGTCACTAGAGTTCACACAGCCAAGCTCCATATAAAGAGTGACCTCAGGTTTTGTTGGGAAAAATCAAATCCCCCAGTCTAAAGAAGGCTACAGCACCTTGGCTACTGCACCCAGCCAGCAGGCTACCAGTCCCTTCTTGGGAAGCCTGTTTAATACTATTTCACCTGGACTCCCCAGGTGGACAGCATAGGGGAAGCATCATGTGTACAGAGAACAGTATTTCCTGATTAACCTCTTACTCCACTTCTGAAAGCAACTCTTGTGGATCTACCAGGGTCCTCCCTTAAATCACTTTTCTTTAGTCATATCCTGCCCCTCTCTTGAATGATGCAGTTAAGTACTAATCCCCTTCCATATTTGCCTTGGTGACTTGTTGTTACCTACCGGTTGCAAATTGGATGCTGGGGGCAGTGTCCAAGAAAGAAACTTGGGGTTGGGTTCCTGCTGCTTTTCGCTCTAAGAAGAGCACCTCAGTAGTGCCCCAATATTTAAATGTCCCCCCTCCAAACCTGCTTACAAGCCAAAAGCAAACCCACTTCTTTCCCTCATAAGGGATCCTTGCGTCCCTCCAGGTCTGCCCAACTCTGCTGAGGGGTTGGATAAGAGGTGAAGGGAGCAACTGAGGTTTTTAAGAAACACAGAACAAAATAACAGGCAAAGCCTTTGCTCCCTGGAGATCTGGAGTTAGTTATGGAGGCTCAGAGGATGGCTTTCCCTGGAAACTGCACTCCGTTTCATTTTCCCACCTTCAGCTGGTGTCTGAAGGGCACTCCACTGCGAGATTTCATTTGGATTGCTCCTTTGATTAAGTTGGAGGCTGACAAACAAGGAACTTTCAGTATCAATCTTGACTTTCTATAGAAACACAGGAAAACAAACTTGTTTCAGAGATATATTTTTAAAAAGCCACAAAGTCTCCTGAGATTTGGTGACCCCAAGTTCGGCTCAGGGACCCCAGCAAACCTAGCACAAATCCATTCGAGTTTGAAGGAGGAAGTTAACGCTAGGGTTAGCAGTCAGCTGTGCTAACTCAAGTCAGAGATTTTCTATGAGTTGCAAAGTAATGATTGCTGCTCAACTTCATGCTTCCAGCAGATATACCTTACCACCCTGTATCAATTTATTCTTGCTCCACCCCTTAAAATGAAAGCTCACATGATGGCAAATTAGACAGCAGATTTTTTCCATTGCAAATAAAACCATGTACCCTCAAACCCAGCCTTTCCTCCTCCCTTCCTCCCATCTGACTCCTTCCTAGGCAGTCCTTCCCCATGTGTCTGTTGAATTCCACCTCCCTTCTTTAAATGAATGGCTTGTGAGTAGTTTGTTTTGTTATATTTTTAACTTTCTAAAAATATTTGTAAATGCTCTCCCCAGGGCAAGGGAAACTTTAGTTCCTGTTAAAGCCATGTGGTTACAAAAATATACTGGATGAGATCTGCTTAGTTTTCTAAAAAACCAGGCACAGTTTGAAATCAACAAGCTTGGAAAGAGATGATGGGCACATTCAGGGTCAGGCAGGGCTGAGGCTCAGAGCAAATTGATGTCTCCTCTCTGGCTTCAGACCTTTGGTGAGGTCTGAAGCCTCTTACTCTGGCTTTTGGAGGGAGAGATAGATACAGGTGGATGGATGACTGGAAGACTGATCAGAAAGTTTTTCCATGGGCCCTGGACAGATCCCTAATCTCCTTGAGCCTCCCACTAGGCCTTTGTCCATCCTTATTTCTCCACCATCTTTAGCCTTCCTATCACTGGAGTTGAAACTTCCAACCAGGTGCCTCTTCCTTTTATATACTTTCAGGGTTGGGTAGGAGTGTGTGTGAGAGTTTGAGAGGTGCTTTCAGAGAAAGGGACAGTCCTATTGCACCGGAAAAACAGATCAGTTGTCTGGGGTGATGAGACGACCCAGGAATGATTTCCTTTCCTCCTACCTCGCTGAATTTTGAAGGTCTCTGAGGATGTGTGTCAGGCTGTGTTGCTGAGCGGACCCACCGCACCCTCAGTTTCTTTCCTCTCCGTCTCTCCTTTTCTAACTTCCAGGCCTCCCTCTCCCTGGTTCTCTCTTTTAGGACCACAGACAGCTCCCAGCGGAGGGAGGTGGCCCAGGGCTGGCAGGTTCCTGTTGAGGCCCTGGCGACTGCAGGGGGCGCGCTGGGAAAGGGTCCGCGGCGCTGGAGGGCGAAGTCTGGGAGGTGATTGCAAAACGGTCTCCCGGGCGGCGTTTCCTGATTAACTCCAAATCCAAACAGGGTCACATTCCACAGAACAAAATCTCCGTTCAGATCAATAAACCGCTTACTATCTGATGGATTCCGGTTCATAGCGACCCAGTCGGATAGACTAGAACTGTCCCACAGGGCTTCAAAGGCTATATAATCTTTAGAGAAGAGACGGCTCCATCTTTCTCCTGCTGGTGAGTTCGAACCGCCGACCTTTAGGTTAGCAGTCAAGCACGTCACCACTGCACCACCAGGACTCTCAGATTAATAAAGTAATTTAAAACCCAAAATATCTCGGTCTAAGTGTAGTGCTCAGTGACAGATCACCTGTGAACAATCCCTATTTAATAAA